AGTGGGCAGTATTCTAATTAGTTTTTCTAAAGTAACCAATGGGAAGGAGGAATTGGAAAATATTCTAATCAGATATATCAAGGTAACCAATGGGAGCAAATGGGGTAAGGTCTTCCATCAGGTCCCTACAGGGCAGAGAAGGCCCCACGGCTCAGGATATAAGACCCTAATTTCTGGACACTGGGGTCTCTCCCTCGATCTCTCTCTCTGCCTTCTCTGCTCCACTCCACCTAACAGAGCGCTATCTTCACCTTCGTGACTTCTGTGTGTCTTGCTCAGTTCCTTGTTGGGGAAGCCAAGGGCCTGGACTTTGACTGGACATCCCAGGGGTACCAGCTTTTGTCCCCTTTTCTTCTTCACCATGCAGAGTGCCTTGTAGGGCACACACTAGATGCCAGTAGGACACCCCAAATGTGCCCACATATTGCCAGATGTGACCTGAGGGCAAGGTCACCCCACCAGGGGACCAGGGACATAGAGGAGAAGCCACTAGCAGGGATCTATTGTTCTGGAGGTGAGGCTGGGATTGCCAAGGTGGGAAAGCAAAGCCACCTTCCCCTTCACACCCTCTCTGCTGCTGAAGGTTTAAACTCGAGATCAGGTGTTAAAACATGTAATAATAATGAAACGAATGACTGTTAAATAAATCACCTGTGTGCAGTGGACCACTGCATAGCCATTCAAAGAAGAGGCTGGGACTGGGGCGGGCTCAGGGGCAGAGCCCTGTGACAGGCCCAGGGCTCCATCCCCAGCACCACAAAAGAAAAGAAAGTGAGAGAAATCTCTACATCTGATGTATTTCCTGTACACACTTCAAAAACACCACTTGTGGCTGGGGATGGGGCTCAGTGATAGAACACTTGCCTACCGTGCCCAAGTCCCTGGAAAACACACACAACCTGAGTGTGTGTTATAGCTGTGGATATTTCACATGCTTTACATTTCTTAGTTTGAAATAAAGATTTATTTTATTTTACTTTATTGCAGTGCTGAGGATAAAAAATAAAAAATGTAAATGTATAATTTAAATATGTGTTTGATACCTAAAATAGTAAAGTTAGAGCATGCTTATAGAAGTAATGTATTTTAAAGAAAAATAACTATGGTTTCCAATACAAAGAAAATATAGAGTGTTATTGGTTAATATTATTAAAAATCTACTCAGTGTTTGGCCTGATAGAGGAAAGTAGGGTTCCTGCCTATGCGTTGAATCTACTGTGTTCTGATTTATCATGAAAATTCCAGACACTATTTCCTGAGAGAATAAGGATGAAAAAGGAAAATAATATCTTAGTATTGTCATAAAAATGGTTTCAATGTTGTGGTTCTCTTAAATGGGTCCCAGGGATGCCCAGGGACCCTGGATCACACTTTGAGAACCACTGATATATAACATGGTTTGTAAATAATACAAGTGTGTAAAAATATAAGTGTGTGAAAAATGGTCATAGATAAACAGGTGGAATGGTGAGACTTCATTATACATGGTTAGAGCTCAATGGGGAAGCATTGTAGGCTCAGGAGACTTCCAGGATTCAAATTTTAGTTTGGCCATTTTCTAGCTGTGTGACCAAGAGAAAATTAATTAACCTCTCTATGCCTGGAATCTCATGTGTAAAATGAAGATGATAATAAGAGTGTCAAACCTCCTTGGGTTATGGAATGTAAGGTGTTTAGGACTTGAATACAAAGTGACTGGCACAGAGGAAAACACCTGGTAAATTATGCAACTAATTTATGCAAACTATTATTATTAACCATTCTTGGAAAACAGTCAGGTAACATTAGTGAACTGATACTCAATGAGCTCTATAATACATTGACATGTGAAATCAGAAGGTACAGAACTATGTGTGCTCCCTAATATAATGACATTATGTCAAGTAGATGTGCGTATGTTGTTACACCCTCCCTTATAAGTGAATTTAAACACATGCATATATGCTTGAATATACATAGTATATTCCTGAAATATGTTCCAATATTGATATATTCAGGTTTACTTTAGATAAATAATGTGGAACTTTTCTTGACTTTTTAAAAAATAAATAAATCTTTATGGGATCCTATTCCATTTTTTAAAATGTAAAAAACAAAAACAAAAAACCTTGCTTAAGTTTTTATTTGATTTTTTTGTTTTTAAATTATCTTTTTCTTTGGCTTATTATTTAAAAAGAACATGAGCTATAGGATTTCAAGTTGTTTGGTCTCAGACAGAGTCAGCAAAGATCCAGCACTTGCAACACCAACACTCCTGCTGCAGGCAAGGCAGGCAGCACCAATCGATCAGCACGACAGACAGCACCAATCAATGGGGACTTCTTCCCCACTGAGCAAATGTTCAGAATCCTTCTAATACTGTGCTCCAAGCAGTCACTATGAATCAATTGGTCTTAACAAAGAAGCTGAAATGTATTTTCCATTGCAAACCTCAAGCATGACCTTCAGAAATTCCTGGAATCATGAAAAATGACTCAGAATATTTCCCTCCGGGAGTCTGACCCTGCTGAACATGAGTTCTTTCCCGAGAACCTATTCACACCGCCCTCCCTGTTCCAGAGGGATTTGGAATCATTCTAAACCATCCCCCTCATTTTTTTTTTTAAACAGGAAAGGAAGCCAAAGTCCCAGAGATTAAAAGACTTGCTCAAGGTCACAGAATGAGTTTGCATCAGATCTGTAGTCATAAATTACAGCAGCTAGTAGACTTGACTCTGGGGTTAGATGTGCCTGGGCACGGATTCTCTTTTGCATTTTACCAGCTGGGTGACCTCATTTCCCTGCACCTCAGTTTCTTCATCTATTAGATGGGGAGACTGGGATGCCTAGTTCAGGGGAGGTGGGAAGCTCCAAAGAGCTAATAAATAAAAAGTGCTCAACTCATCCAGGAATGGGGCTGTGATGTCACCAACTGTGGTGTGATTCAGAGGTGCTTCTTATTGCCCCTCAAGAGGCTAAATTTAGACATGGCAAAGAATGAGGGGCTGGCCCTATTCTTCCTGTCCAATACACTTGAAGAATAAGTTTTCTGGGGCTGAGTGTGTAGCTCAGCAGTAGAGTGCTTGCCTACATGTGGGAGGCCCTGGGTTCATTCCCAGCACTGGGAGAAAAACAATCTCAAGAATAAGCTTATCGAACGTCTAGGTTGCTCCCAGTCCCTCACTATAGTGGGGGAGACCACAGAGCTTGGAGCTTATTTCTGAGTCTCCTTCCCTCACCTGCAAAAGCAGAGTGATAATTCTTCCACACAGGCTGCTGTGAGTGCCTAAGGGGTCGTGTTCAGGAGGAAAGTGTCTGGCTTGTGGTGTGTGCAACAAATGGCAGCAGTTGTTTCTCCACAGAGTGACAGAGCCAAGCATTAGGGAGCCGGCTGCTCCCTGGTGAAGGGGAAGGAAGTCAAGTTCAGAACCAGATGGATGGACTTGTGTCAGCCAGAGGCTTTGTTGATTTCTGTGTGATCCTGGATGAGCCCTTCACCTCTCTGGACCTATCTGCACAGGGAGGCCAATCAAGCCCATGTGAGGCTTGGGAGAGCTGCAGGAAGCAGCGCAAGTAGAAAGGCAGGCAGTAGTAACAGCACTGGGAGTGACGATCGTCAAACCAAGGGAACTTTTATCAATCCTGACCCAAATTACTTGCTGTCCTCATACTTAACACGACCGAATGAAAATGCGTCTGTTCATTACGATTATTAAGTCCCCTAAAACCACTCTAACCTTATTCTGCAGCGCTATAAGCCCCCTCCCTCTGGACAAGCAAAGACGTGTTTGAAATAAAGTTTATTGAAGTTTCTGTCGATATTTACATATGATACACGGTAAATAACAGAGCCAGGCCCCCCACCCCCCCCCTTTCCCCCCCCCCCGGCCCCCCTCCCCCCAGCCTCATTAAAAATCGCTGCGTAAAGACAAGTTAACTGCTGCGGGCCCCCCTCCCCCCTCCCCCCTAAGATGCAAACTAAAAGCCCCCGTCCCTCCCCTGCCCCCTCCCCCAACCCCAGGGGGCCATTCTGGTTCCGTTTACTACACTGTGCTACCTCGCCCCTCCTCCCCTAATAAGGGGGGGTGGGTGGGTGATTTCCTGGTGTCCTCCCCTTTTCCCCCATCTGTCCATGGGGGTGGACGGGCCCTTAAAAGAGGCCAAAGTTGGGGGTGTGAGATGGGAAGAGGGACATCAATGAGGAGAAGTGCCAGAAAATGGAAGACAAAGGTTTTGGGGGGTGTTGACCCCCGCTACTGCCCCTCCCTCCCCCGACGGGGCCTCGAGGGGGGAGAGGCGGGCACAGGTGTGCAGATGGCGTGGGGAAGGTCCCTCCACCCTAGGGTCCCCACCCGTGTCTTTCGGAGAGCGGGGCTGGATGCACCGAGGGCTTGGGTTGTGCAGGTGGAGGGAGGAAAGGGGGCGGGAGGGGGGGGAGAGGAAGAAAGGCCAAGGATAGTTGGGAAAGCTAGAAGACTGGCTGGAACCCTAGAAGGAAGTCACCTTCGGAGGCAGGAAAGGCCCAGCCAGCGAGAAAGAACGGGGGCTCTGAGGCGCAGAGAGAGTGGGTGGCAGAGACCGAGCGAGCCCTATCCGCGACCTCCAGCCCCACCCGACCCGGAGCTGTGGGCGGAGCGGCACCCAAGTACCCGGCAGGTCGGGACAGGAGTCGGGGCGCAGGGGAGAAGATGATCGGCATTCCTGGCGGCTGCCGAACCCACTCTCCAGCCCAGCGCCCCTGCAGTGAAGCGGCTCCGGCGGGCTCGGGGGTGCTGGGCTCGCGGACCGGGTGAAGGGGCGGGGCTACTGTCTGGGCGTGGCCGTATGCGGCTTGAGACCGGAGGGCGGGGTCATTTTCAAGTGGAAGGAACCAATAAAGAGGAGAGGTCGGGGAAGTGGGAGGAGCCATTGAAGAGAGGGAGGGGGGCGGGGCGGGGCCTAAGGGTGGAGCAGCTTACTCTGGCCGGAGTATCCCTGGCCGGGGCTGCGGTTCAGGGCGGCCCGCGGGGAGGGGTTGGGCTAGGGGCGAGGGGATGCTCCGAGCAGCCGCGCCTCAGCAGGGCGAGGTGGAGATGTGCAGGTGGTCGGGGTACTTGATGGCGGGAGGGTAGTTCTGCGTCATCTGGATAGAGACGTCGCTTGAGATGTCCGACGGGCTGCGGCCCCGACGCCACGCCTCGGGCTGCAGAAACTGGCCGGAGTAGTCGGAGCAGTCGCTGAGACGCGGACGGTAGAAGGCGGGGTGCGGGCGGTACATCTCCTCCTCCGCGTAGCGCTTGGTGAACAGGTACACCGACATCACGCCGGCCCCCTGCGGCAAGGCACCGTCAGAGTCCCAGAGGCGCCCCCAGGCCTCTTACCAGAGCCCAGTCCCCTCCTCTCGCAGAACCCAACAGTCAAGGCTCCAGTCCGCTCTTCCCCCAAGCCGTGGAGCTCAAGCCCCTGGGCACCCCCTTCTTCCAGACCCGGGAGAACAAGTCCCCATTCCTCACCAGGACCCCAGGAGCTGGAGTTCCCAGATCCCTCCTCTCCAGGACCAGGGGTTAGACCCCCCCAGTCCCGCCATCTCCCTCGTAACCCAGAGCCTACATCCCAGCCTCCTTGTCCTCCTGGGCCCAGGAATCAGGCCCCCATCCCCTCCTGCCTTGACCCTAGAGTCTGGGCCCCACCGACATCACCTCTTTGAGCAGGAAGGAGGAAGCCGCGAAGGCAAAAGACCACCCATAGCGGTAATGGAAGTACTGCTCGGAGCTGCTGGGCCTGTTCATGACCTCGTCGTTGATGCTGGAGATGTAAAGGACCAAGCCCACCACCAAGGAGAGGCCTAGGGGGAGCAGAGCAGGGGCCCTGGTGCATGAGGAAGTGGAACCCCAGCCCCACAGCACCGCCTTCCCTCCCCCCACGTCCAGGACCCCCTGGGCTGGACCTAGAGTAGGTGCAGGGAGTCTGAAGAGGAACCAACAACCTCCTCTTCACCCTACCCCAAACCCGCCACCCAGACTCTCAGTGCAGCTGGGAAAGCTAAAGATGGACACCAACCAACAATCACAAGCAGGGTGATATGAGCTATGAGGCATCAGGCACTGAGCTCTGTGGGTCCAGAAGAGGCCCAAGGCCACCTGGGGCAGGACCAAGGGAAATCAAGGAAAATTTCCTTTGTCCAAGTCCTAAAGGATGAGCCCCACCATTTCCTGGCAGCGGGAACAGCATGGGCAAGATTTGATGGGGGGCACACCGAGCTAGTCTATCCTACAACATGGGCAACAGCCACAGAATTGAGGTTAGAGAAGGGAGCAGGGATAAGGTCCTGATAGGCCTTGAATGCCAGGCTGAGGAGCTGAGCATGATGCCAGGGGTACTGGGGAGCCATGGCAGCTTGGGGCAGAGGAAGGACACAGACAGATCAGAGTGTTAGAAGACCCTTTCAGGGCTTTGGTGTTGGGAACAGATGGGCAGGGAGTTGTGATATTCTATGGGGAAGAGAACGAGGCCTGAGCTGGAAAGAAGTGACAGCATCAATGATACTAGCAGCTAGGTCTTGGTCTGTGCTAGGTGCTGTTCTCAGCATTATATAGGAAGTAACTCATTCAAAACTCAAAACAACCCTCTGAAGTAGACACATTTTATCACCACTTACAGCGGAAGAAACAGAGGCACATGGAGCGTGTGGAGAAGTCTGGCTTGAGAATTTCAAAAAGCAAATAACACTTTCCTAATATGAACTCTGCTTTTAACAGCAGCCAGACCTGGGTGACTTAAGGAGGCCATACCATTTCTTGTCCTAAATCCATCTAACATAGCCTTATCAGCGTCTTCCCTCAGAGTCCTACAAATAAGCATTGTGTGACTGTCACACCCAGAATCCAAACTCCTTTCATTGCCTCTAAGAGGGATCTGCAAACCATGACCCATAGACTACATCCAGTGCACCTCTTGTTTCTGAACAGCTTTTACATAATTAAACGGCTGAAAAACAAGTCAAAAGAAGAATGATATTTTGTAGCATGCAGAAAGTATATGGATTTCTTTTGGCAGTTCTTCAAAAAGTTAAAGATAGAATTACCATATGACCCAGCAATTCCACTCCTAGGTATATACCCAAGGGAATTGAGAACATATGTTCTCCCAAAAAATTGTACACAAATGTTTGTAGCAGCATTCCCCAGTAGCCAAAAAGTGCAAACAGCCTGAATGTCCACCAGCTGATGAATGGATAAACAAACAGTGGGCCATCAACAGAAGGAATGTTATTTGGCCTGCAAAGGGGATGGGTGCCGACCTAGGCTACCACGGGAATGCACGGGAAACTGGTCCAAGAAAGAAGCCAGATGCTAAAGACCACACACCATGTGACCCTGTTCCTACTGAGAACAGGCAACAGCACAGAGACAGGAAGTAGATTAGTGGCTGCCAGGGCCTAGGAGGGAGGGCGACCATAACTGGCTGTTAACGAGGGTGCGATTTCTTGATGGTGATGAAGTGTTGTGACATTAGCTAAGGAGATGGTGGCACAGCTTTGTGAATCTACCAAAAAGCCTATGATGCACATTACATGAACAGTATATTGTGAATTACATCTCAAATTTGAAGAGTATATGAATTTCAAATTTCTGTCCCTATAAACACAAATTTCTTGGCTCACTGCCACACCCATTTGTTGATATATTGCTGACTGCTTTCTACTGCTGTGGAGAGCAGAGTATTGTGACAGACAGACAGCAAAAGTGAAAATCTTTGTGATCTGACCCTTTACAGAAAAATTTTGGTGACCTTGTAGACACTAATACCTGCACTGCCTGGTCCCCACCAACCTCATCCCTGAGAAGTCCTCCCATCCCTCTGCTTAAGCCACCTACTTCCTTGCTCTCCCCTCTTCCTGGAGTGCATCAAGCTAGTTTCTGCCTCAGGGCCTCCACCTGTGCTGTTCCTGCCCCCGGAATATGCCTCTCCCAGTTTCCTGAGGGCCTTCCTCCAGTTTGTCACCTCTGTTTTTGTTTGTTTGCTTCGGTATTAGGAATTGAACCTGGGGCACTTAACCATTGAGCAGAGTCCCCAGCCCTTTTTATTTTTTATTTAGAGACAGGGTCTCCTTAAGTCCCTTAGGGTCTCACAAAGTTGCCAAAGCTGGCCTTGAACTTGTGATCTTCCTGCCTCAGCCTCCCAAGCTGCTGGGATTACAGGCCTGAGCCATGCACAAGGTTCCAAATCACTTTGACTACAGGTGTGCACCACTGTGCCTAGTGTTTGTCACCTCTTTTTTTTTTTTGGGGGGGGGGTTATACCAGGGATTGAACTCAGGGGCACTGAGCCACACCCCAGCCCTATTTTGTATTTTATTTAGAGATAGGGTCTCACTGAATTGCTTAGTGCCTCGACATTTCTGAGGCTGGCTTTGGACTCATGATCCTCCTGCTTCAGCCTCATGAGCTGCTGGGATTTGCTGGCTGTTTGTCACCTCTTTAAAAAGGCATTGAGTTAAGCCAGGGACAGTGTCACACAACTGCTGCATTCCCCTACTTAGGACATGGAGGCAGGAGTGTGGCTTGATTCCAGAGGTTCAAGGCCACCTGGACAACACAGTGAGACCCTGTCTTAAATAAATAGGTAATAAATTTAAAAACCTCCCTCTTTCAAAATTAGATAAATGCAGATGAAAACTAAGCAGTCAGATGATCAAAAGCTTCCCAACATCTTCAGGTAAGACTGGGAGAAGGTGAGAGTGCAGAACAGTGTGACTCTGAGCAGGGGATGTGGCAATACCTAACAAAGCCCCGTGTGAATCAATCCTTTACCTCTAGGAATTTATCCTGAAGGCCTCCCTCTGATCATGTGGAAAATCAGATGCACAAGCAAACTCACTGCAGCATGATTTGTAATTGGAGAGGCAGGAAATGCTCTCGTGGAGATGGAATCCACTGTGGCACATCCGTCCAACAAAGTGCTGTGCCTCAGTGAAACAAGGAGGGAGACCTCCGGGACCCAAGGCAGGGTCACAGTCCAGACCACACCACCAAGCGCAAGGAGCAAGGCAACTCGTGGACCTGAGTGCTCAGCAAGCTGCCTCTTAGGCGGGAAAGAAGCATGCTTGAAGATACAGGCGTGCACCTGCTTCTCTGTGGAGAGGCGCATGGGAGGCAAAAGGGGTGGGTGCCAACAAGGAGAGAACACTGCACCTCTGAAACTGGGCAAATATTTTATATTAAAAGAGAATCATCCAGACGGGGAAAACTGAAATTAAAAATAAGCAAATAAATTAATCTAATCCTATATTAAATTAAAAATATGGCCACAGTAGGAAGGAGCATAACCTAAGTAAAAGTGTGTGTGTGTGTGTGTGTGTGTTTGTTGGGGGGGGGGGTGCTGTGGATTGAATCCAGGGCCTGTGCTTGCTAGGCAAGTGCTCTATCACTGAGCTACATCTCCAGCCCCCAAGCAGCTTTTAAAAACAGCACTTTGCCAAAAAAAAAAAAAAAAAAAATACCCCCCAAAACAGCACTTTGCCTATATATATCAGACTAAAGACCAAAGACCTACAAAGTAATCTTGAGCCTTTCTTAGTAGATTTTTTTTGGGGGTGGTGGTGGTAGAATCTAGGGGTAGCAGTTCTGAAGTTATTTCATGTGCATTGTGGGGTTGAGTGGACCCATGAATACACTGATGCTTCAGGGAGTGAGAGCTTCTCACTCAGAAAGAAGAAAGGTACAAACAAAGTAAGGCAAGAAAACTCGTGGAGTGTTTTGATATCATTAGAAGCTCCTGCTCCTTAAATATGTATAATTTCCCAGCCTTCTGACCTGAAGGTCCTGAGAGCGGCACCCCGAAAAGCACTGAGCACACCAAGCCCCCCTGCTCTTAGTTCCTAATGTCATTCCTCACTAAAAGGAACTAGACTCCCTGAAGACACAGCCAATTTGAAGCCAGGGGTAGGGGTGGTAAAGAGCCAGGAGCCATGGCACAGGTCTATAATCCCAGCTACTGTGGAGACCCAGACTGGAGGATCACAGGTTCAAGGCCAGTCTCAGCACTTAGTCAGACCCTGTCTTAAAATAAGAAAACAAACTAAGGGCTGGGACATGGATGGGTGGTAGAGTGCTTCCCTAGCATGGGTGAGGCCCTGGGTCCCATCCCACAAGGACCAGCTAGAAGAGCTTCCTGGTAGTCAAATTGAGGACAGTATGAGCACCAAAGTGAATGACTCAAGCAAAGTCATGTGACAAGATGAAAAAAAACTTTTTTTTAAGTATGAGTCCATGCTGATATTTCTAAAACTTAATAAGAGAAATAAGGTTGGCTTCGGTAGCATCCCCATTTGTACACGAGGGTGGCACGTTTTAGGTGCAAGGGAGCATCACCAGGGACGCTGAATCGCTAGACGACAGAACCTCCCCATAGACTGTCTATGACACCGCCAATCATCGGGCAGGTGGACTCCAAGGGCCCGTGTGGAAGGCTGAGCTAGTCTCTGCTTCCTTCGGGTAGTGCTCCCGCTGAGAATGCGTAACCCGGATCCACTCACAGGGACACCGTGGGACAGTCTACAAAACCACTGACTGCACAGTTCAAAAACGCCAACATGAAAGATTGGGGGAAAAAAAGCATCGGAGCTATATAAAAGACGAAAGAAAAGCGTACAGAGCATCGGCTGCACAGACCCACAGAGACAGCCCAGTGCGAGCAGAGCAGGCGGGCAGCAGGCACTGGCCGCAGAGGGAGGAGAGCAACAGAACAGGAGAAAGCAGGATTCCAGAGGAAAATGTCCTCGTGTGCATCTGCACAAACTCGCTGGAGGCGCCCAGGAGCGCCCAGAGGCCGCGGTCAGCTTCT